GGAAATCACAAATATTTGTATGGTAATGTCCAAATTTTCATGTGTAATATAAATGCAAAATGTGATCATATTAGAAGCATGATTATATCCTAATTAACAATAGCCTCTAAAATAATAAGCTAAATAGAAGTGTAAGAAGTTATATGATCATACCATCGGGACTGATCGCTTCGCTTTCATTGATTACAACGCGTATTAGCAGAATACAAAGAAGCCACGGCCATTGCCATTTCAAAAGACAAATGCCCATAGCAACACTGCTCAATAATAATATAGCTAATAGAAGTCATATGAGAAAAATATCTCGCTCCACCATGTAGCTATATAATCGATATGAACATCCACAGCGCAGACAAACGTGGACACTGCCTGCAACAAAAAAGAAAGAAAGAAAACTCTGTTGAAATCACAGCAAACAAGAATCATCATCATTACAAACTTATCAATGAAAATTACAGCACACAAGAAGCAAATTCTATTTCGGCAATTGTCCACATCAGCTGCTTACACTTAAATAATATAACATCACCGAATAAATAAAAACACAAATAACTTTTCTATATTTTAATTAAGATGATGCATATGAATAAAACCAAAAATATATAACAATAGGAGCAAATGCTTCAAGCTGAGCTCCATAATTTTCAGTTGAAACGCAGGAGCACGTTTCTATCTAAATAGAAAGCAGCACAGAAGCACACTAGGTAAAGTGCTGGAAAAGCTTGGCACAGAGTACACTAAAGAGAAATTCAGCATTTGAAATCAAAAGCAGTGAATGCGCAAACATCAAATCGAAGTTAATTAAGGCAGCGTCTGAATTGCAGGAATAGCGATGATGAAATCGAGGAGCATATATGAGTTCACGGAAAATCGAGAGAAAATTGCAGACGCACTGACCTGGATTTCGATCTGAGATGCGAGAGTGAGAGAAATGCAGGTTGAGCTGTAAAGGAATTAGAAGAAAAACGGTAAAACAAAACCCTGTCTGAGTCTCACTGCTTTGCGTTGTGTTCGTTGAGATTTCTGTGATTCCGGAGAGCGAGAGCGAGTACGAGTGTGTGAGCGTGTGTGCGTGTGAGTGAGGTGAGAGTGTGAATAGATGCTCGGGAATTAAAGGGGAGCCAATGGGAGCAAGGCTGTTTCGCACGTGAGAACATCCACACACCGTACGTGCGACCGACGCCTTTGCTCTAGAACTAGAACCCAGTCACACAGCTCATACCACACTCAACTGACGCCTGTAATAATACTTATCCCAACTTTTTCTCCCCAATTTTTTTTCAAACCTCTTCCTTCTGTTAAAGTCCTCAAACTTAACATCTATAATTGTTTTTTCAAGTTTTATTTTTTTAAATAAAAATAAAATTACACTGTCAAATAGGAAAAAAAAATAACAGAGTAAAATAGTAAGTATTATCCGAATATTAAAACAGGAAAAAATATTATTCCTTTCTCTTTCTTCTTCTTTGTTATGTAACTGGACAATATGAAAGAAAATAATTATTAATTCTTTTACGAGTAAGGAAACTATAATTGATAAGAAGTATTAATGTAACATTTAATATTATTAATGTAAAATTTATTATAGGGTTTTTTCCTGTATAATATGACAAAAATCTATTTTAATGGAGAGAAATAATAACAACTTGTCTCATTTAATCAAATTATTCAAATTTAAATATTCATTTTAGATATTAAATAAATTATATTAAAAAAATGTATTAATCATTATTTTCAATAGTAAATATTTCATACTAATATCTTTATTATAAAATGTATATATATATAATATAATTTCATTATTTAATTATAATTTTAAAAGCATTATCTATATCAAATATTTAAAAATAAGTTTATATGTATTTATCTTTTTTATAAGAGTTATATGTATTTATCTATATAACTCTATATGTAATATTTAATGTAATCAAATAAACTCGACATGAAGAATTGACGTAACATTTAATGTTATTAATGAAATATTTATATAAAAGTAAATAGATTTCTTCTGAAAAAATTATTATTTAATTTTAAAAAATTATAAAACATATATTAAATTAAAAATTCAAATTTATATTAATATATATATACACTATAATTTATCTTTTAATTCCTATCCAAAATATAATAAATGCTTTTGAAAAATTTAATATATAAAAAAATTCTATTTTTAAGTACTGTTTTTTATTAAAAAAAATATTATAAAATATTAAATGTGCATTAATATATTTTAAATTTTGAATATTATAAAAATATCTATAAATTATTGAATATTATAAAATATTAAAACCAAAGTTCTTCTTCAATAGAATTCCTGTATATAGAATTTTTCTCAATATAGAATTTTTTAAAATTTAAACTTATGAAACATAAATTAAAACAGAAACTTTCTATATTTTTCTTCTCGATATCAATCTGAATCTCTATTTAGAGAGACCTCAACACTACTCAAACTTTAAAAAAAAATTTCTTAAATTTTAAAGTTTCTCAATATAAAATAACATTTTTAATACAATAACCAACTTATAATTAAAATAACTACGACATTTTATAACTCCCATTATTACATTTAAAATATTAAATAAGTTTATTAGTCTTGAAAAAAAGTATTAATATAATATTTAACGTTATTCATTTTATAGTACAAATAAATAATATTTTCTTATATAATATTAGCCGGACAAATTTGTTATTTAAATAAGGTTTTAAAAAGTTTCTAAAACATATTTTAAAATAAAAATAATAATTCAAGTTTATATTAGTATCACACACATATATGTAATAGTTTATCTCCTATTTTCTTTTCATAATTTATCATTTTTAATAAATTACAATGAATTGTTAGAATATTCTATAGATTTTAATCTAATCCTTATTTTAAACTATTTTTTTTACATGTAAAAAAAACATATTTTAAAGAAGAAAATAAATCATGTTAATATAATTTTAAATTTGTTAAGGATTATGTTATATGTTGAGCATTAATTTCATCTAATCATTTTTTACCTGCTATATTTTTATTTTATGCATACAATACAGTAAGTTAAGTTTTATGTGCTAAAAATAATTAAATTAAATAATAGATGTTATGTTATTATATGAGTTTTTTATATTAGATAAACTAAGTTACATTGATATTTTATGTTAAATAAATAAAACAATGAATATAATAATGTTTTAATTTAAAAATATTGAATGTAACAATACAAATGTAATAAGAAGAAAATTCAAATGCTATATAATTAAGAGAATAGTTTTCATTTGAGGAGAAAAAATATTAAAATAAATATAAAAATGATTTTTGACAGAGATTTGTTACATAATTAAAACTTAAAAATTAGTGTATAAAAATATTTTAAAAAATCAAATGTTTAATAATATAATGTATACAATTTAAAATATAAATAGTTATAAATTGTCACTAAATTTGTGTCTTTAATTACTTTTAAAATAACTTGTGTTTAAGTATTTTAAAATTTTCTATACATTTTTTTTATAAAAAAATTTATTAAATATATTTTAAAGAAACCAAATTAAAATTCATATTAATATAATTTTAAAATAATTTAAAATATTTTTATGCACATCATTTAGTAAGTTAAATTTTATTTCCTACAAATAGTATTTTTATTTTGTATACAGATAAAAATGTATAAAAATATATTATATAAATAAAATCATGTAATTGAAAAAATTAGTTTAGAAATCTTACTGTTTCACTAAAGTTTCACAAAAATATAACAAATTACAAATGTCAACCATGAACTATAGAAATATCATTACCAAAATAGTTAACAGTTCACGGACATTATAACTAACCATGTGCCCTGCCACATACTATTTAACAGTTTACTACACATTGCTAAAGACAAAATTTAGTGATAAAGGTATTTTATCTTAGCATCATATTTGTGATCAGTTTTCTACTATACAGATAAAATTATGCCTATGTTCGTACCTGATTGACAAGAGACAAAGACCTTCTTAACATTGTTATCAAAATGCTTGATCTTGATGTCCCTCATCTTGCTCCTGCAAATAAAACATAAATGGCTAAAATTATATTGTTCGGCTTGTACCATAACATTCGAATATTCGATGTAGATTAGGATAATTTTGTGTAGGATAAATATTTCTAAGCAGAATGGACCAGCATCTAGCGAGTTGCTGAAAATTATAAGACAAATATGTTAGTATTTAATTATTAATTCACTATTACTCACATGGAAATTTGAGGTTTTGTTGGATGGATACAACTAGACCTCTATTTCTCAATGCTTTAGAAGATATATAGACAAAATCATAAAGCTGCTATAAGAACTACTTTGGTTTAAATATGATACCAAAAAACTGGATGCAGACAAATTATCTCAAGTGCAATGCATGTTCGTGTTTATTCCACCCGCAATCAACCATATAACTTTTATATTCAAAATGGTAACAATACATGAACACATTATGAAATAATTTGGACATACACCATGACACATACAGATAAACTCATTACCATAACACCCATATCAAGGATGGATTGGCAGAAATAATAGTTCTGCAAGTTAAGATTATGCAGTCACTTGGGATGGGAACCTCTATTTGTCATGTATCAATATATTGTCTGGTCAACAAAACCCCTTCATATATTATTACCTCTATTAGTAGATGTATTAAGTAAGAAGCTTGAAAAGGAATAATAAAGTGGAAGAAAAAGTAACAAAGAAAATCTGATAAATCCTTTAATAAAGAAAAAGAATAATTAAGGATGAACTTCTTGTATATTTCTATAAATAATGCCTATGCAATTCCTTCTACTCTAACTTTATTCTTATGTTTATGACAGCTTTCATATAGATATTATTATTCGCTTCTACAAGTTTACATTATGAATAGTATAAAAGGGTTTTACAATTGATCCATCCAAACTACAAAAAAGAATATTTTTCTTTTCATTTTCTTGAGGGGTTGTGGAATCCTAGCTCCCCTAATGCAAAATTAGAAAGTTTCTATATACTTGTCTTTAAGTGATTAATTCTTGGAGACACACATGGCCTCAAAGGATTCTTCATCACAATAGTGAAGACCTGCTTCTCACTCATGTCAACCTCACACCCCTCTTCAAGTGTCCACTTAAAATCCCTCACCAAATTGGCCACAAAATACTCAAGGTGAAGAGTTGCCATACTAATTGCAGGACAAACTCTCCTTCCTGCACCAAAAGGCATCATTTTAATATCTGTAGTCCCTTTCAGATCAAACTTAGCATCACCTTCGTCATGCCTCAAAAACCTCTCAGGCTTAAACTCCATAGGATCTTCCCACACATTTGGATCCCACCCAAATTCTGCTACAAGAAAATTCACAATTGCATTTTTTGGTATATGATAACCATCCATAACAATGTCCTGTGTAACTGCCCTAGGCAATATAAAATGCCCCGGAGGGTGTCTCCTTAAAGTCTCTAACACTACAGCCTTTAAATAAGGCATCCTCTTCAAATGTTCCTCCTCAATGTCTTCATCAGGTTTCACAACTTCCTTAATTTCCTCAAACAGTTTCTCTTGTATGTGTTGGTACTTCACCAAATTCGCCATGGTCCATTCCCAAGTGGTAACTGTTGTATCCGTGCCACCTAACATAAACTCAGCACACACACTCACCAACTCTTCATCCGTTAGCTTGCTTCCATTGCTTGGAAGCTTCATATCAAAAAGGGTATCCACATAAGCCTTGAACTCTTCTTCATTGTCATCTTCAATACCAACCTTGCTATTCATTTTCTCGTGGCGTGCTTTTATGATAGGGAGTAACACATTCACCTGATTTTCACGAATTTCCAAGATCTCTCTCCACAGTCTTCTAAACACAATCTTAGACAAGAGTGGCACGAAATTCAGCACGTTGAACCTAATGAAATTGTGAACAAAACCGTGTTGTACCCTTTGAATATCCCTAATGGTTTTCTCATCAAATTTCTCTCCAAAACATATATATGAAAATAAAGCATACAATGTGTAATTCAAATAACCATTAATTGTAATCTCCTTATTGCCCGACTCAATTTCATCTAAAATATGTTTCTTTAATACATCAAATGCCCACTTACGACAATGAGAATATAACTTTAACTTAGAAGGTTGAATTATTTGCATTAAGTTTTGGCGCAACATTCGCCAATTGGAGCCATATGGAGAAGTAGTAACAGTGTATTGGTTAGGGAAGAAAACTTGGGTGGTTTTAAGAGCCAAAGGACGACCAGCAAATACAGTGCCATTTTTAACAAGTGCTCTATGAGCAGCTTCATGACATGTTATGAAAATTGAAGGGGTAGATCCAATGTGGATGGTAACAATGTTACCGTACTTGGAACGTAGAGAGCGAAGAACGGGTTCAAGATCAGCAAAATTTTTTGATGACTTAAGGAGCCAAAATATGTTACCTATGATGGGTATGGTAGGAGGGCTTGGTGGTAACCTTTTGTTGCGGTTTACTTTGAGAAGTGCTTGAAAAGATATACATAGACAAATGGTTGCAAGAATATAGAACCACAATGCCATTTCTTCAATTCTATCTTCTTTTTTCTTTCTAAGATATCTATTTCTTTACTCTATTTTTCTCTTTTAACTAACTTGCAAGTTAGGCTCGTTTTGAGAATTTATGTATATATTTTATAGGTTATGTTATGTGAAATATACTGTTACCATGTTTTGTCACCGTTATCTATACCTCACTTGATGTTTAATAGTTTCTAATTTAACGCGCCTTTAATTATTAAAAAATAAAAACTTCCTACATGCCATAACCCTTTGTTTGGTCCGTTAAGATAGTGACAAGGTCACTAAACCACTAAAATAATTGTCTAATCTCTTTTTTTTTTTTTACCTTTGACTTAATAAAGTGTATATTTTTAATTTTTATTTCATATTTAAGTTATTGATCAAATTTTAATATTTAATTAAGAAACATGAATATCGAATCTCAATCTAGAGAATTTAGTTTAATTGGTTGAATATAATATGTGAGTGTTATAAATTTCTTGATATTAGGTTTGATTTTCACATATTAAAAAATAGGTCAAACTTTTTATATCTATGATTTTTGGTCTTTATGATTCATTTTATTTTCACAAATTACTATTATTATTAATTAGAGGAATTTTGTGACTCTATATATTTATTTAAAAATAAATAAAATAATAAAATATAAAAGAAATAACATCTTGTGTGTATAAAAGAGTAGTTCCAATTTTTGTGGGTGATTACATCCTTATAGTTAAATAAAGGATCTAGATCAGTTATGAAAGTTTGTAATATTAATCAAAAGATGGAAAATCACTTACTAAGAGAAGAAAATTAAATATAAAAAAATGACAATAACCTATTCAAAAGGTCACTCATAATCAATTCTTTTTAAATATAAATATTAAGCACGTGCCTCTGAATGGAATTAAAGTATATTTAAATAAAGTATTGCCGAAAGCATGTCGATAAATCGGTATATTATTTAATTTATAAGTAATACAATTGTGTTAAATATTTGGAAAAAAAATGTTTTATTGAATATACAATTCAGCATTTTTATAGGAAAAACTTTTTAAATAATATCTGCCACATTTTTTTTATAATATTTAACATCATTGATTTTTTTTTTTTAAATTAGAAGTAAATATTTTTTGAGAAATAAAAATATCACCTATCAATTATTAATTGTTATTTATTAATTTGTTTTTATAATATTTTTTATACAATTTAATTATGTAAATTTTTATATTCATTTAAACCAAACAAAAATATTTGAAACCGGGACCCTGAACAAGACCACCAGAAACCCAAAATCAGCGATAAGAAACCTTAATCGTCAACAAATGATGCTTCCTCTGTAAATCAAGTCAAGCAAGTTTCAATCAAATGATGCTCCCTTTATTTATTTTATTTTATTTTATATTGTATTTTCGTAACACTTTTAATATTTTTTTTAAAGATTATTAAATAACATGCGTCTCAATTTTCACTTAACGAATTTCATTCTATTAATTATAGTAATTAAATCCGTTATAGGATTTATTTGTTTAATTTTTTATTATAAAAACTCTTTATTGAAAATCAAAACTCATGAAGGAGACATTAAGAAAGACCTGGATTTCATAAAATTTTGTAATTTTTAATAAATTTTAACTAATTAATAAAAGTGTGTTAGTAATTATGGATAACATTTATCTTTATTTTATTTATGTGGATAAAAGATAATATAAGAGAAAATATTTTTTTTATTTTATACATATTTAATATATCATCTTAAACTCTCAAAAAAAAATATCATCTTAAAGATCAAATTATTATAAAAGAAACTAAATCATTCTATATATTAAATTTAAATAATTATATCGAATAAGGTTTTTTAAACATTATTTATTAACTAGAATGTTTGTAGCTATTTTTCTTGAGAGAGAGATTTTTTAAATAAAAAAAATTAAATCTCCTATTTTTAACAATGTATTTTTATTTGAATATAATATTATTTTAAAAGAAAATATTAATCATAATCTTATCCGTGACTCTTTATATAAATGAGTATTTTAACTTATAGAATGTATATTTTAAATATTTATTATATATAACAAAAATTTAAAATAAATTATATGTGTAAATAAATATTATGTTTAAATATATAAATTATAGTAAAAATTTGTATAAGTAGATATTTTTAAATATATAAATTATATTTTAAATTTATGATAAGTAATTTATATTTTAAGATAAGATTGTTTCTATTTATCAATAATTTATTTTAAAATATAAAAATTTAATTTATAAATAATTATAATAAATAAAAATTAAATTTTATAAGTAATTAAAAAACTCTTAAAAACTCTCTTATCTAAAAAAAATTAAAAATAATATCACAAAAAATTTGTATTTAATATATAAGAATTAATTTGAATAATTTTTTTTAATTTTTATATTAAATTAAAATAATTATATTGAACAAGATCGTGAATGCATACCCTTTTTCTTTCCTCACCAATAGTCTTTTTTAGATTTTTTACAAATTTTATCTATTTTAATTTATAATTCTTATCTTTATATTTAAATTAAATTTTAATATTTAAAAAATTGTCAATAATTAAAAATATTTTGTATCAAAATATAAATTATTTCTCATTAAAAATATAATTTATATCATAAAATATTTATTATTATAAATTTTAATTATAATATAATTTCCTATGTTAAAATTTTTTATTTATTATAATTCTATTGTATAAGTAAAATTTCATCTTATGTACTACACAAATTAATACTATTTTTTAATAAATAAAAATGGTAGATAAGAAATGACACTCTCAAAATTATCAGACAAAATTAATGACATGTTGTGATACTCAATCAAACATTATTGTACATTTAATGAATAATCGAAGTTTAATAGTATTTAATTTGACCAAATATTTAACTTTTCAAGTTGAGGTCAACTAGAGAAATTTTACCTCTAATATCAAGAAATTGCATTGAGAAGATATGTCTACTAAAATAAGATTTTAATGATAGAAAGATGGTCAAACTTCTGTCATGAGAAGCATACACTCAAACCAAATATAAACTAATATTAGCTATATCACATTCATATTAAAAGAGATAAATTTTACAATAATAAATGATAAACACTTCTGTTTTCATTAGTTGTGAATTTTCTATTTTTTAGTTTACACTAAAAAAAATTCCTTAATCGATAATTGATATATATTTTTTAATATGGAGAGATTATTAAAGTAAAATTTATTTTTCGTAAAATTTTATAATTTATATCTTCTCCTGTTATCTATTATAAAGAAGATATTAAGGTATGTAATATTTTTTATCTTTATCTTTTAATGAATTATCATATCTCTCATATGTTAAAAAAATATAACTTTTGATATTTTATTTGAATAATTACCTATAATTATCTAATATTCTATCAATATAACTGTTAGAAGTATAAAGTATTTTAATCTTTCTAATTATAATAAAGATGATTAGATTTTTTTATGTGTCCAATTTTACTTTTATAACTATTCTTTTATAAATTAAATTTTTTTTTTATAAATTTCACTCTATGATCATCTATATTTTAAATAATAACTTATTATTATATAATGTTTATCATTTATTATTTTTTTAAAATAATTCACAAAGTAACTTATATAAAAATAATAATAATTTTTTATATAATTAATGGAAAAAAAAAGGGGTCTCTCCCAGCAAATTAATTAATATTAGGAGTAAAATAGAGGATCCAAGTACCCGTTAGTTCGTGATTGAGAATTAGTAATTACTAAAATTTATGTATTCGTGATGCGTAAAATTGACGTGATTGGTTTGTGCAGAGGCAGGAGTTTCAAGTTTCAAGTTTGGTGATAAAACACACACGATATGATATAATCACGAGGGTGGGACCCACTCCGTCTCCGCCATTGGTTTTTATATATTTCAAGTTTTTCCACTCTGCACAGGAAAAAGAGAGCGATGACGCGAGGAAAGCAGAAGATCGAAGCGCAGAAGCGAAACGCAGAGAAGAATCAGAAGGCAAAGGGCTCTCAGCTCGAGGCCAGAGCCGTTGGCCTTAAAGTCATCTGCCCCATATGCAAGGTACTTTCTTCTTCCAAAATACCATTTTTTTCCTCTAATTATCTCCTCCTGTTTTCTGCTGCCTCTAGTAATTGCTCTTCTGTTCGCTTATTTATTATAGGATCCAATCACCCAATCTGGGTTGTGCTTGTTTCTTTTTCCCCCTTCTTCAAAAAAAATAAAAAACATTTTTTTATTTTATTTTTGCGTTTTCTGATTCGGAAGTATAGTTGTTTCGGTTATTGATTATGTATATGTTAGTAACTATGAGCTAGTTCTGTCAATTATTTAACGGATCATGGTTTATTGCAATATCTGCCTAGTTGGCTCTTTGTCGGGTTCCAAACTCATGGTTTCTTTTTAGCAAAAAAAAATAATTCTATAATGTGTGATGGAAGTTTTAAAGCTTGTTATGGGGATGTCAGAGGAACTTGTGCGTGTGCGGTATCTTATTTAGAGACACGTGTTAGACTTCATTTGTTGTGATTTTTGATAATCTAGTGTGTCTTAGTTTGATGTGTGATTGAAATGATGCATATGCTAAAGTTTTAGAAATGATTAACCTTTGTTGGGGATTAGATTGATTGTGGACGAGTAAATATAATCTTTTACAAACTAAAGCATTGAAGTTGTAGTTGCTACCTTTTAATTAGGGGGACAAACAGAAATCTAAAGCATACATTAGTGTTGTAACTTGGAAAGTAAGAAAATGTTCTTCGGAAAATGTGCTACTTTTTCAGTGATATGTTGTTAAATGAGTTTGAGATGGGTTTTAGATTCTTTAGCAAACTATTTTATGCTCTTGGCTTCCTATTTGAAGGAAAGAGACAGCTTTGTCTTTAGCTTTTGCCGGTTATTCTTGTGCATTTTGTATGTGTTTTGTAGTTGGACTTGTGAGAGTCCTTTCTTTGCGGTGATTGCTTTATTCTTCCAAACTTCATTGTCTTCTTGAAGAGGAAAAAGATCCTGTAAAGGACGTTGAAATCAATATTTTAGACACACATGCCTTCTATTTGTGGACAGAGTAGTTTTTGGGCAAATTTATGGACAGATAACCACCAACATTTATAATTGCTCTTGAAATTGGTTCTTATTGGTTCAAAACTTTAATTCGTGATTTAGATGATGATCCAACTCGGTGGAACTTGAATTTATGTGCTTTATTCCTGTTCCATGGTGAAGTGAGTTTTCATAAGTTAATTCTCATGTTAGAGAATGTCACATGGTTCTTATAACTATGGTATTGCAGTTTTGAAGGATGCTTTATATACCGTACTTGACCTAAGAGAGGATATCTAGATAGTGCTAAAATTGTTATGAATAAATAGTTAAGGCTTGTATATCTTTAATGAATTGGATAGTTCATCTGCAATAACCACTATATATTTATGTTTGACCTGACTACTTAGTTAGAAACGGTTAGGCTTAATTGCGTTTTTATCTTTTAGGTGTTGTAATTGTGTAATTTTGATCCTCAAAATTTTAATTAGGTAATTTTAGTCCATAAAAAATTGTAATTGTACAATTTTAGTCCTTCAATTTTTAATTAAACAATTTTAATCCTTTAAATATTATAATTATGCGATTTTAGTTTTTCTCATTAAAAATTTAATAATTTTAATATATATATATATATATAATATTTTAAAATTATACAATTATTTGTCATTAACGCATATATATATTCATTTTTAATAAATAAATAAAATTTATATATTATTTTTTTTAT